GCTGTGTCTACCCTGAGTTCCTGGCTTAGGGGAGCCAGCAGATTATTTTTTCCTGTTTGTTAATTTGTTCCCTCTCCAGGGCTGGGAGAATGGCTCACGGTGCATGACGGTCCTACTTCCAGCCCAGGGGACTTGGAAATCGCTGAAGCCGGCCTGGGACCTGGTGCAGAGTGAGGAGGGGGGAAGTAAATGGGAGAGAAGTTTTCCCAAAGAGGGTGTATTTTGATCCACGTGGTAGGCCAGATGCAAGTACTTATCTTTTGCCAATTGAGTGCTGCTTTTCACTAGTTCTGGATGCTGAAGTAGACTGTCTGCCACTGGGCCTCTCTTGATGTGGAAAATGCCTCCCGAGTGCTGCTGCTTGCCTCACCGTGCACACGAACTGATCTGGCCTGAAGGGTGCTGGCTCCCTCCATGTCAGGTCCGGCAATTCCTCGGTGCTTCCGAACTCTCTCTCCCCCCACCCCACCCCCCGCCACTCAGTCTGATTCCTCAACTTTGCCTTTGATGTTCAGGGCTCCTAGACTGTCATATATAATTGATTCACTTGTTTTTCAGGTCTTCGTTGTAAAAGGGACCATGGGAAGCCTCTGACTACTCCGCCATTTTGGCCCCACCTTCGTGTTGTATGACCTTAAGCCGCAGTTTTCTCACCTATAAATTGGGGCTAATAAAAGCCCCTCTTTATAGGGTTACTGAGATGGTTATAAGAGGCTGGTAAGGTGCCTTACTCACTACCTGGCATATGGTAAGTGATTGTTTGTGGTTGTGTGTCGAGTTGATTCTGATTCATACTGACCTTGTATGACAGAGTAGAACTGCCCCATAGGGTTTCCTAGGCTGTAATGTTTATAGGAACAGATCGCCAGATCTTTCCTCCAGTGGAGCTGCTGTGGATTTGAATGACCAACTTTTGGTTAGTAGTCAAGTGCTTATCCATTGTGCCACCAGGGCTTCTGAGTGATCAATAGTGTTGGCTATTATGGTTATTATTGCTATGACCATCACCAGGTCACCCAATCCACCTTCCACTCCAGGACAAGCCACTGCTAAACGAACCCTCTCCACTTTCTGGTTTGTTCTCTCCTGCTCTATGACTGCCCTGCCCAAATCTCTCCTTAGGTCTCCCCAAGGTGCTGCGTTGTGCCACCAAGCGAGCTCCTGATATGACTTAACCAGGGGAGAGGGGCCAAGGAGACACGTGGCTCTGGAGTTAAACACCATCCCGGATTCCAGTCCTGATGCCTCCTCTGTGCAGCTGACTCTGGGTCTCTGAGCCTTATCTTCCCCCTGTAAAAGGGGGATGACTAGGTTTGCTTTGTAAGGCTGCCATGACAATTAAACCAGGTAGCTTAGGTAGAGCAGCCAGCCTAGTCTGGTGCTTAGTAAATGGTTCTATCCTCATTTGCAAGGCTTCTCTGAGGGTCTGGGGTGTGCTGTCCTGGGCTAGCTGCCAGGGGTGGACAGAAGACACAAGAGCCAGACGATGACTCTATTACGTGGTGACCACTGATCCAGTTGCTCCTCCAGCTTGGAGAAGCGGCCCTAATTCTTCGAAGGGCCGGGTGGGGGAGGCCTGGGGCAGGCCTCCCAGAGGAGGGTTGAGTGACCTTGAGGTTGTGGAGAACAAGGTTGGGATAGAGGTCTAGGCTGAGGGTCCAGCATGAGCAAAGGCAGGGAGGCAGGAAGAATCTTACTGAATGGGTGGAACTTCGGGCAGTAGGCTGAAGCTGGAATAGGGGTATAGCGGCCAAGTTACACAGCGCCTTGAAAGCCACAAACGAGACTAACTTTACTCAGTGGGGTAGAAGCGGAATGGGGAGCCAGTGAAGGGCTTACATAGGGAGTGGCAAGATCAGATTTTCACTTCAGAAAGATTTTTTCTGGCTGCCCTATGGAGTCTGGGCAGGGGAGGGTAGAAATGGACACAGGGTGACTTGTGGACTCCATTCCTTCCAATCATCCAAGCAAGAGAGGATGGAGGGCCCAACTAGGGCGGTGGCAGTGGGGAGGAAGATGGATGCCAGAGATATTTAGAAACAGGAATTACAGATGCAGCAATCAAGCCAACAAGCAGTAGAGCCAGGATTTGAACAGAAGTCAGGCCACACTCTTTCTGCTACTCCACACTGCTCCACAAACAGCCTGGGTCTGGGTAAGCTTGATGGTTCAGGCCCCAAGACCCGCCTGCAAAGTGGGTCTTCAATGAGCAGGAGGTTAAAAACTAGTTGTTGTCAAGTTGATCCAATTAGATTCTGACTCATAGAGACCCCCATGTGTATCAGAGCAGAACTGTGCTCCAGAGGGCTT